TATAGAAGAATTAATCTAAAAACCAGTAACTTTTATGGGTCTTGTTTTCCTGATTATAAAATATATGCTAACTGTGAAGAAGGATTGTTATGTTATTTTGTAGTTGTGTTTTTCAAGTGCTTTTTGGTCAGAGAGCATCAGCTCAACAGGGCAGATGGAGACTTGGGTTGTTGTGAACATGTGGGTACATGTTCTGCAATAGAACACACATGACCAGGCAGGGCTGACAGCATATTAATTAAGTTTTCTTCAGTTGTACTGCTGCAACTGTTCACTCCCATCACTGAGAAGTCCTCATTGTCACAGCAAATGAAAACTTTGCTCTGGGGCCTGAGAAGAAGGAGAGCCCCGACTGGGCTTGCATAATGTGGTTGGCCACGATGGTGGCCTTGGAACGGCTGGAGTTGACTATTAAAAACTGTTTCTGGCCCAGTTGGTGCGGCTCAGTGGTTGAACATTGACCCATGAACCACGGAGTTTCAGTTCAATTCCCAGTCAGGGCACATGCCTGGGTTGCAGCCTTGATCCCCAGTGAGGGAATGTGCAGGAGGCAGTTTCTATCTCTCTTTCTCTCTCCCTTCCTCTCTGAAATTAGTAAGAAAATATATTTAAAAAAAAAAAACCCAAAACAAAAAACCCCTTCTTCCTTATATTACTACTAAGTAAATTCTACTTATTCCTTAATCCTAATACAAACACACATATATAAAAACATAGCCTTAATCACTCCATCTCTGATATCCCCATATGGCACTAATCATCTTCAGACCCTGCTATAGGTTAAGAAAGTCTTGGAGGGATTTAGACAATACAGGATAAAACAGTGTGTAATGGAGATTAATTAATTGGCAGTTAATTGGATTGGAAGGGAGATCTAAGGTGCAAATTAGGGGCTGTTGCACTGATGCTGGCAAGAAGGGTTAGGGGTGAGAACTAGGATGGTGGCGGGAATAGACATGAAGAAATCCTAGATTGTGTTGATTTGTTGGGATTGAAAGAGAAGGGAAAGAGCATTAAGAAAAATGAACTAGATAATTCATAGTCCTCTTGACCTGATGCACTTGGAGGCAATGAGAATATTAATAGTAATCTATAGTGACATATTTCACCTTCAAATTTCTTTTGCTGTCCTTGGTGTGACCCTGGGCTTGGTAGTTATTCTAAACTTCTTTACTCGGCTAAGTGGGGGAATATGACAGTTCCTGCCTTATAGGATTCATTAGTGTTTGATAAGGAAACATTGGAACAGATGCAGGGGAATTTCCTTGAAGCAAGTTTTATTAGTTCTTGTTTTTATTTAATTCTTAACTAATCAGCATTCATGTTTCCTTCAACATGTTGAATTAAAGTCTTCTAGTGTATCGCTTTGGTTTTTTAATACCCCGTGAATAATGTGGAATTATTGAAAAACAAAACAAAGGTTATTATGCAAATGTTTGAAATATTTAACACTACATTAAAGTAGTCTTGGAAAGTGGAAAAATAACTACTGAAGTTGTACTAGCATTTTGTAGAGGAACAGAGTATGAAGAAGAAAAAAAGATCATTCCTGAAAAAAAGAAAATTTAAAAAGTTAGAAGGTGTTAGAACAAATCATACAATGAATTCTATTAAGTAATGAATATTTAGTTAGTGTATTACTTTTCTTGAGATACAATCACCAAGCCAGAGAATTTAAAAAATTAAAAAAAAAAGAAGTGATCAGATGAATTCTAAAATTGTGTTTCAAAATACCTGGTTTGACACAGTAAGACAGATCTTCTTATTCCAGGCTCAGAACATAATTGTTTAAGCAGTTGATATGTCTTCATCTTCTTTATCCTTGCCAGGACTCAGTCCCTGGCATGACTCTCAAATTCCAGAGAGATTGGGAATAATATAATAATAGTGGTATTAAATGATAATAATATATTAATTCTGGTGTTAAATTACAGAAAGTGCCTTCCATTCTCAGTTCAATTGCCTGTGTTTATTAGTTTAATAAAATTCCCTTAATCTAACACTTCCCAGTGAATTAGAATCATGCAGATTCACACAGATGGTCCTAAATAGAGGTTCTATCCTCAGCTTCTCCAAATCCTTGCAACAGCGTGACAAGGATATTAGAGAAGGCTTACCCCAAGGGATACGAGGAAAACTGGTGGCATTTCACACTTAGGTTGGGCTTGCTGGATGACAGATTGTTCTTGTTCTTGTTTTTTAAATCTCTCAAAAGAAACTAGTGGGTGATCCTTGAATTATCATAAGTTTGAAGTTTTAAAAGAAATTTGCCTTGACGCCAGTATTTACTCAGTGACACAACTTGAGAACTAATAATGTGTGCACACTAGCATATCTGTTGCATGGCAGCTGTGTTGTGTTGCTGAATAGTTTACTCAGCCCTTCTGGAAAATGACATTTTCATGTCCTGAATGACAATACATCTTGCTTATATGGCATTGGATAAGCCAAAAAATGCTGTTTGCTACAAATAAATGTCTTGACTGTCAATAGGCTGCCTGTTTAATGTTTGCCTCGTTTAAGCTAATATTTTTTTTCCCTTTGCCCTGTGAACTGGTAGTTTGGTGTTTTGGTGTAGTTTTCTTTTTTCACTGTTAGGTAAAATGAGTTAGATAAAGGAAGTGACCTCAAGTAAAATACATATCAATTTGTGTCCCTGCTCTACAAATAATACTGGAAAATGTCTGGTAGGAAACAGATGATGACTTTTTAATTTTATCTTTGGATTTTAATTATACATGCCATTTTTTTATGTCCCATCTCTATATGGAACGAAGAACTAAGGCACAGCCTGTAATCACAGGTTCTGATCAGCCATTCTCATTGAGCCTGGGCTAACATAGAAGTTGGACCATCTTTCACCTCTTCCTCAATTCCAGTTCGATTGCTTTGAACGACTATAAAATATTTGTGCAATCTGGTCACTGGTAATGACACTGGTATACTGCTGCATCTGTCGATATAATCATATGAGTTTTACCCTTCTTTTTGTTCATGTGATTGATTTATGTATGTTGAACCATTCTTTTACCCCTGGAGTGATGTATTTATCTTTTAATGTGTTGCTGTATTTGATCTGTTAGTATTTTGTTTAGTATTTTTGCATTGTATTCCCCAGAGATATTGGTCTGGGGTGTGTGTGTGTGCGTGTGTGTGTGTGTGTGCGTGTGTGTGTGTGTGTGTGTGGTCTTTGCCAGGTTTTGGTATCAGGGTTAAGTTGGTTGGCCTCATAAAATATGTTAGGAATTAGTGCCTTTTCTTTAGTTTTTTTTGGAAGTATTTGAGAAAGATAAGTATTAAGTTTTTCTTAATACTTATGAATGTTTGGCAAAATTCACTAGTGAAGCCAGCTGCTCTTATACTTTCACTTTTTGGGAGGTTTTGGATAATTGTTTCAATTTTCTCACTATTGATTGCTCTATTTAGATTTTCAAGCTCTTCACGATGCAGTCGAGGAAGGTTATATATTTTTAGAAACGTACCCATTTATAAGTTATTGAATTTGGGGGCCTATAGTCTTACATAGAATTCTTGTATGATCCTTTGTAAGACTGTGGGTGGGGGCTTCACTGGGCTGCAATCACAGATGCCTAAGACTGTGGAGCAAGTGGCTTGTCCCTCTTCAGTCTTAACTCACATATTGTGTGTTGGAGTGATGGTCAATCTGCATATTACTCTTTTATTAGATAGGATAGAGGCCTGGTATAAGGGTGGGGGCCGGCTGGTCTGCCCTGAAGGATGTCCCGGATCAGGGTGGGGTTCCCTTGGGGCATGGGGAGGCCTGGATAAGGGGCCTGTTCTGGTTTGCAGACCAGTCACGACCCCTAGTGCCCCAAGCAGAGGCCCTGGTATCTGGGGTTTATTTATCTTCTACAATTGAAACTTTGTAGCCTGGAGCGGAGCCAAGTCTTCAGCTTGCTCCATGGCGGCAGCCATTTCTGTTGGGATTTATGTATCTTCTATAATTGAAACTTTGTAGCCTGAAGCAGAGGCCTGGGCTGGCCAGGGTATGTGGAAAGCTTGGTTTCCTCCATCGCTGGAGGTAAACCCTAGCCTCCTGCTCTTTCCAGCTCTGTGGCTGCCACCATTTCTGTTTGGATTTGTTTATCTTCTATAATTGAAACTGTAGCCTTGAATGGAGGCTTAGGACAGCAAGGGTAGGCGAAAAGCCTGGCTTCCTTCATTGCTGGGGAAATTCAAGCTTCCCTCCTGCTCTCTGTGGTCGTAGCTATCTTAGTTGGGTTTATTTGCATATTCACTCCTGATTGGCTTGTGGGAGTGGCTTGTGGGTATAGTGGAGTGATGGTTAATTTGCATATCACTCTTTTATTAGATAAAATTATTTATAGTAGAAGCAGTGTTTGATGCTAAGTTATATTACAAGGATAACTAATTATAATTTTATTACATTTATTTTTGTTAATCTTCACTCCAGGATATTTTTCTATTGATTTTTAGGGAGAGTTGAAGAGAGAGGGAAAGACAGAGAGAAACATTGATTTGAGAAAAACATTGATCGGTTGCCTCTTGCACAAGTCCTAGCCAAGGCCCGGGGTGGGGAGGAGCCTGCAATCAAGGTAGGTGCCTTTGACTGGAATTGAACCTGGGACCCTTTTGATCCACAGGCCGATGTTCTATCTACTGAGCAAACCAGCTAGGGCTATAATTCTGTTCTTTTCATAGCATCTGTTACACACACACACACACACACAATTTGTCAGTTCACAAAAGCCAATTATTCAGTTTTCAGAAGTTTTGTAAGCTGCTTGATGTCAGACAAGTAGCTTGAAATTTGTCACGGTAGGAATATTTACACAATGGAAACTAGTGAATGCTACAAATCAAAGCCTTAAAAGTTTTTTTTTCTGAACAGTGGTTGTCAAACACCAGCATATCTGTGCCTTCAGGTATTTCTTCAAATAGAATAAAGGATTATTAGCATAGAAAGAAAGTTCACATGATTTAAAGAATAAGCTGTGTTTATACTTCTGTGTTCTCAGGGTTACGGAAAGACCGAAGAGGAGGGAGAATGTTGAAACACAAGCGCCAAAGGGATGATGGGGAGAGCAGGAGTGATGCGGGGACCTCTGGAGACATGAGAGCTGCCAGCCTTTGGCCAAGCCCTCTCTTGATTAAGCACACGAAGAAGAACAGCCCTGCCTTATCTCTGACAGCCGACCAAATGGTCAGTGCCTTGATGGAGGCTGAGCCCCCCATAATCTATTCCGAGTACGATCCTAGCAGACCCTTCAGTGAGGCTTCGATGATGGGCTTGCTGACCAACCTCGCCGACAGGGAGCTGGTTCACATGATCAACTGGGCAAAGAGGGTGCCAGGTAAGAACATTGAGCTGGACTTTTTGTTTTTGCAAGTCAATCACTACATATTCATGAACCAGCTGCGATGTCATAGGAGAGAGCAACAATAGGAAACAATAGCTTGTTGTCTAATTGGTTTCAAGGTTACATCCGAATTTGTCAATTTTTAGGGTCAGTACACTGTAATTCTCCTGAAAATCATGAAGTAATAAGAGGTTTGGTGCACAAATTTGTGCATAGCTGGGGTCCCTCCTGGCTAATTGGGGCTGATGGGGCCAATCCAGGCTGGCTGGCCAGGGGGAGGGACTGCAGGAGGTTGGCTGGCCACAGGAAGTTGGCTGTGGGAGCACACTGACCATCAGGCAGCATCTCCTGCATTGAGTGTCTGCCCCCTGGTGGTCAGTATGCATCATAGCTACTGACCGGTCAGCCCATTGTAATGGTCACTTAGGCTTTTATATATATAGATGCTTTAAAATAAAAAAAAATATGGAAGGTTAAGTATTATACTTAACCTGTGTTAAAATTTACCAAAAAATGTGGAGTAGACACATAATAAATGCAGTTAATATTATACTGTATGTTCACAGTATCAAAATATTTAACATTAAATGGTCTACAATACATATATTTTTAGAATTGAGGACTTTTTTTCAGAAAAACCTCAATTATTAATAAATAATTTTACCATAATTTTTTTTCTCTTAAGATCTTTGTGGACTGAAGACAGAATAATAGGTTTCTTTACTAAATGCCCATTATTTACTTGACTCTTTCTATTCTCTTTTTTTTTTTTTTGACTCTTTCTATTCTTAATATTTTAGAGCAGTGTTTTCCAAACTTCTCTCATGATGAAAATCACCTGGTGGAGTTGTTAAAATACAGATTCCTGAATCCCAACTAAGAAGTGCTAAACTAGAATTTTGGGGAACATATAGGTAAAACTGTATATTAACTAGTGCTCTAAGACAGAGCTGTTCAGAACTACAATGTATCCCCGAAAATAAGACATCCTCCAAAAATAAGACCTACTTACAGGTTTCCTTCTGAGTGAAAAATAAGACATCCCCACGAAAATAAGGCCCCCCCCCCCCATGCTAAACATGAGAGATTTGGTCCACTGATTCTGAAAGAAATGGAGTCACAAGAAATTCACCAGGAAATTCAGGAATTGGATTGTTATGATGATATTCCAGAAGATGATGACATGATTGTCATTGAATAAATGAGTAAATTTTTGATACTGTAAGATTCACAGTTTGTCTGGTTTGTGTTGACAACTACCGTACTACTGTATACAGGTAATAAATTTCCTTTATTTTCATTTAACAATAAATGTGTACCATATTCTTCTTCATGGAAAAATAAGACATCCCCTGAAAATAAGACCTAGTACATCTTTGGGAGCAAAAATTAATATAAGACACTGTCTTATTTCAGGGGAAACAGGGTATATTGTCTAAGACAGAGCACTAAGTTAAGTATACAATTTTACCTATATGTTCCCCAAAATTCTAGTTTAGCACTTCTTAGTTGGGATTCAGGAATCTGTATTTTAACAACTCCAACCAGGTGATTCTCATCATGAGAGAAGTTTGGGAAACACTGTTTTAGGGGAAAGGTAACACAATAGACCAATTAGGTTCTCACGCTGCTCCTGGGCGAGCCTTAGAAGGATGCAGTGGCTGAGTGACATTGGTCCTTCACTAATTCCCTCAGAGGTGGCATGGCTAAGAAGCTTGACTGGCACTCTTGTTCAGAGAGAAGAACTCTAGTTTTAAGGAAACATGACTAGACATCTTCCATGGCCCATCATAGCCATTCAGGAGCTAACATGGATGAATCAAGGCAAGAGGAAGTTAAATCTTCCTGGGCACATAGTTCAAATGAGTAATGGATTTAGACAGATTTTCTCATTTGGGTTCTTTGAATTGATAAAATCAATTATTACCTCGGAAGCATGGGATGCATTTGATTAAACTAAATGAATGTGGGGCTTTGTACTTGTGTTTTAGAGTTCACCGATCTGTTATAGGCCAAGTGAACACATGTCTGTCCTTAGAGAGTATTTTATGTATTTGCATATAATAACATATTAACATGTAATGCTTTGAGTAAGAAGCCAGCAATGTTGTGATCTAAACTTGATAGAGGGCACCCATGTAGGTGGTAGAGTCTGGACTATATAGAAGTGTAGAGATTAACAGGCATATTTAGATATTTAGGGTCAGTCCTAATGGCAAATAAAAACTCACAGACACCTTTGAATTAAGAGTTTTACTGATCCCTAGCCAGTTTGGCTGTGTGGATAGAGTGTTGGCCTGCTGACTGGAGGGTCTTGGGTTTGATTCTGGTTAAGGGAATGTACCTTAGTTGTATACTCCCAGCCCTGGTCAGGGGCTTGCGAGAGGCAATCAATTAATGTATCTCTCTCATATCAGTGTTTCTCTCTGTCTCACCCTCTCCTCTCCATTCTCTCTAGAATCAATGGAAAAAATACCCTTGGGTGAGGATTAAAAAAAAAAAGTTTTATTGAGCACCTACTTACTTTAGCATTCTCATGTAAAGCAGATCTATAATAAGCAAATATTGGAATCTAAATATAATGTGGTTATAGATTTTTATCTTAATATTTGTTCTTGTCTTTTTACATACTTTGGGAGAAGAAAGAAATTTAGAAATAATATTAATGACCATAACCCTGAGAGTCAACTTTTGGTTGCTATTAAGCTTTATTGTACTATAGGTACATATTTTCCCTCATAAACTCTTAGCAGTTTTAGTTTCAGAGTACTGATGAACTCAAATATACATTATAATAGTTATAAGTTTATTTCCATCATGACATTTTTATAATTATAAACATTTTAAAGGTATTTGAAACAACTGAAAATAAATTCAAATACATTACTAGTGGATAAAGAATTCATGACAATAATCTTCTGAATTTAAAAATAAAATGGAGACAGAAATAAAGGGAAGAAAAATATTGTGTACATGCTTAGCCATCTCATTGTTAAACCTAGAACTAAGCAAATTTATAGTAATGAGATGTGTAGCTAAACCATTCTATACCTTAATTATATTAGCTTAAAAGATCAGAATAATTTAAAATCCTTAGACCAAACCATATCTTGTTACTTACTGGTTTTTTAAAAAAATTATGTAGGCAAAAGGAAGTTATATGAATAAGTGTATATGTGTGTATGTGTACTATTAGATTACAGCTCTTGTAAATCAAAAGCCTATTTGTCTGATCAAGCAGAATAAATGTAGTCATTAATTTTAAAAGGATGAAAAATGAAAGAAAAATATATTCTGAAAAAATTTGAAGATAATTGTCAAGCTTTTTAGAAAAATCAAAAAAGCACATTTTGAAACACTTATATTCAGATATCACCTGCCATTTAAAAAATAGCTCCTATTGGAACTCTAATATAGACAACATTATATTTATGTCATAATAGTTTGAGAATAATAATAATAGTAATTTTAAAAAGAAGGAATAGAAAGTATATTAGTAAAAAGATTAGTAAGAAAGTGAATTCTAGAAGGACCTGGAATTAGCCATATGATACAAAAACCTGCAAAAGACATTTGGATAATCCTTGGAATGTCTGTCAATATAGAAATTGTGAGTTAACTTTGTTTTTGAAAAATTCAGCTATATTGAGGTGAAATTGACAAAATTGTGAGAAATTGAGAGTGTACATTGTAAAAGGATTCCCCCGTCTAGGTAATTAACCCATTCATCTCTCTCTCTCTCTCTCTGTGTGTGTGTGTGTGTGTGTGTGTGTGTGTCTGTGTGAGAACAGTTAAGTTCTATTTTTTTTAGCAAATTTCAATGATACTCTAACAGTCTTATCAACTCTAGTCATGATGTTTTGCATTAGATCCTCAGCCTGCTTTCATTTTACAGCTGAAAGTTTGTACTCTTTTACCAATTTCTATTTGCCTCATCCCTGAATCCTGGCAACCACGTTTCTACTTTTTGTTTCTATAATTTGGGCATTTTTTTTGTTTGTTTTTAAGGTTTTACATATAAGTGATACCATACAATATTTTTCTTTCTCTGGACTATGTCACTCCATATATTGCCCTCAAGGCCCATCTATGTTGTCAGAAATGGCAGGATTTCCTTCTTTTTTATGACTTAATAATATTCCATCGAGTATATATATATATATATATATATATATATATATATATATATATATCTGTATCTTCCTTATCCACTCACTCATTGATAGACACTAAGTTTGATTTCATGTCTTAGATATTGTGAATATGCCGCAATGAACATGAGAATGCAGATGTCTTTTTGATATATCATTTTATTTCCTTTGGATATATACCCAAAAGTAGAATTTTTGAGTAATAGGGTAATTCTATTTTTATTTTTTGAGGAACCTCTATACTCTTTTCTAGAGTAGAATCAGGTTACATTTCTACCAATAGTGTACAAGGTTACTTTTTCTCCAAATCCTCACCAACACTTGTTATCTCTTGATAATATGCATTTTGTCTATTCTGTTTTCTTACCAACATTTCGTTACCAACGGTTCCCTGTGTGCCTCAGAAGACTGTATATTCTGCAGCTGTTGGATGGAATGTTTTATGCTTTTTAGTTTTATCTGCCCCATTTTTAAAAATATATATTTTATTGATTTTTGTATAAAGAGGAAGGGAGAGGGATAGAGAGTTAGAAACATCAAGAGAGAGTCATTGATCAGCTGCCTCTTACACACCCCCTACTGGGGATATGCCCGCAACCAAGGTACATGCCCTTGACCGGAATCGAACCTGGGACCCTTCAGTCCCCAAGCCGACGCTCTATCCATTGAGCCAAACCGGTCCCGGCAATCTGCCCCATTTTTATAAGTGATTTCCCCATCACAATTACAACAGTAGATTATTCTGAATTTAACTATACATTTACCTTTACCAGGCAGCTTCATGTTTTCATATGTATTTTTTCCTGTTACCAATTAGTATTCTTCCTTTTTATCTTAAAAAAT